TTGATAGATAGACTAAAGTATCGATGATATATCCCTCTTTTCTCTCTCTCTCTCTCTCTTTTCTCTATCTAACAAACTCAATTGAAAAAAAAATTTTAAATGATTTGCCCGGGGGTAATAATGAAAGAATGGGGGGTAAAAAAAAAAAAAAAAAAAAAAAAAAATTGAATCATCATCATCATCATCATCATCATCATCGACACGTAATAATTATTTATAATTTGTTTAACGAATTTATTATTATTATTATTATTATTTTTATTAATCGGTGGCCAATTGCAAGAAAAAATAATTAAATAAATAAATAAATAAATTGAAAATTTGTTTTTTTTTTTTTTTTTTTTTTAATTTACAATTTGAATTTATGAGAATTGAAAAAAATAATATTGATGATGATGATTTATTATTATTATTATTATTATTATTTCAAAAGGTTTAAGTAAATAAATAAATAAATAATGTTGCTATAAATAATTTTTGTTTTTTTTTTTTTTTTTTTGTAATTTTAAATAAAATTTAAATCAAGAGAGATAAAAGGATTAAATTTGATAAAAATAAAAATAAAAATCATTTTTTGTCCTAATCATTATTTTATTTATTTATTTATTTAAATTGAAATTTAATTTTGTTTTTCCAAATGTTTGTTGTAATTATTATTATTCATTCGAATTATTTGTTTGTTTCAATATTTAAAAAAATTAACGAATTTGGTTTTTTTATTATTAAAATTAAAAATGGAAAAGAAAAGAAGACATTTTTTTTTTTTTAATTTTTAATTTTATTTAATTTGTATTGTATTTAAAAATTTAAAAAAATCTATGTACATGGACAAAAAATCAAAAATAAATATGTTTATATGTATAAAAAAAAATTTAAATAGACAACAAACGACAACGACAAACAATCAACAAACAGGAAAAGATTCCAAGTGGGAAAGAAGAAAATAAAAAAAATTTCCTCTTAATTTGTTTTTTTTCAATTATTAATTATTATTATTATTTATGTTTAATTTTTAAAAAGAGGAGGAGGAAAAGGAAAGAAACAAACAACAAACAAACAAACAAACGAATAATTAATTAATTGACGCTATTGTGATCTTAAATTTATTAATAAATAAAAAATTTATTTTTAGGGTTACCCGTTAAACGTTTTTTCTTTTTTTTTTTTTTTTTTTATATTTAACGAATGTATATATAAATAATAATAATAATAATAATAAAAAATGTTATAAATTTTTTTTTTTCTCTTTTTTTATTTATATTAACTAGTTTCGCATAAGTCACGTGACGTTATGATATAATAATAATAATAATTAATTAAAAAGGAAAAAAAAAATCGAAGGCGTTAAGGTTAACGAGTTGATTACAAATTTTTTTTTTTTTTTTACCTTTTGGGAAATTTTAAGACGCCATTTTGTTTTTTTTTTTTTTTGGATCATCGTTTATAATAATAATAATAATAATTTTTTTTCGAAAATCACAAACGAAACGTATATGAAATAATAATAATAATAATAGTGATGGGATTTTTAAAAAATTTTTGTTTTTGTTTTCTTCGCACCTTTTTTTTTTTTTAATTTCGCGTTAATAATAATATAATAATAATATTACAAAGGGGAGGTCATTGAACTTTAATCAAAATTAACTATCGGTGTTATAAATCGTTAAAAAAAGGAAAAAAAAAAATAAAGAATCGTGGAAAAAAAAAAAAAAAGCTGATTATTGCAAAAAAAAAAAAAAAAAAAAAAGGAATTTGATAAATCGATTGAAAATCTACGGTTATTAAATAATAAAAATAATAATAATAGAAATAATAATGAAAAACGTTAAATTTGTAATTAATAAATAAAATAACCGTTTATTTTATTAAGTAATAACAATAACAATAATAATTTTTTTTTATTCATACCTCACACGTTTATCGTTAACTACCATTTTTTTCTTTTTTTTTTTGTTTTATTTTTTATATGGCGTAGAAAAGAAAAGAAAAGAGAGAAAATGGTGTCAAAAAAAAGAAAAAAAAAAAAATTTTTTTAATTATTTTAAATTATTTCAAACGCGTTAAATCGTTAAAAAACAATAAAAAGAAAAAAGAAAAAAAAAGAAAATGAGTAAGAAAATATTTAATTTTTTTCATACGTTTGGTTTTTATAATTCTCATAATTAATTTTTTTTTATTATTATTATTATTATTCTGAATGACTTCTGATATGATTTTTGTTTTGTTTTTTTCATTTTTTGTAATATTTTTTAAATGATATTTTTAATCTGTATAAAGTAAACAACCTTGAAGAAGGAAAAAAAAAAAAAAAAGAAAAAATTTGTGTTTGTAGTTGTTGTGGGACGTTTTCTTCTTCCATATTTAGAAATTTTCATTTTTTTAAATTATATACAATTTTTACACCCGATAAAATATTACGTTTAAACTTTTATTACATGTAAATAATAATGATAATAATGATATATAAATAAAATGACGGTTACGATAATAAATATTTTTTCATACGGTTTTATTATGGTTTAAAAATGAAACAACAAATTTTTCTTTTTTTTTTTTTTTATCTTTTTTTTTTTTTTGGCTAGAAAAAGTAAAAATTTATTTATTTTAAAAAGAGAGAGAAATTTTGTTTTGGAATGAATTTATTTTATTCTTAGTTTATTAATTTTACTTGGGAAAATGTTGACGATTCGGATTTAACCGGGTACCGGATGATGATTTTTAAAAAAGCCGTGGAAAATTGTTTAAAAGCAGGAGGATATGAAGTGAGAAACGAAGATGGTGACGAAAAAATCGTTCATATTTCTACAAAAAATGAAAATAATAAGAAAACGAATCAAAATATAATTATTTGCGGTGCTGTTTTAAATTCCGAAACGGGAACTAAAGAAAAAAATATAAATAAAAATGATTATTACAGGTTTGTTATTGTTTGGATGGAAGAGACGTTGATTTAAATATGGCGGACGTAAAGTGTTTTATTTTTTTTCACTTTTTTTTTGTTACAGGATTCGATTGAATAATATAAAAAAATTATCAATTGATAAAACATTAGATAACGTTGAAGAAAATCATTGGGAAATATTAACTCATGCTAATATAAAATTAAATCTTTTACAAGTGAAAATGACACAATCCATTTCATTGAACTTGAATGAAAATCTCGATAATAATCGCGAAACCGGAAATAAAGGAGGAACTTTTGTTTTGTACAACGTATCGAGATTGGCCGCCATCAAAGCGAAATATTTTCAAAGAGTAAATGATAATTTTTATCCAAAACTTCCACCCGTTGACGAATTGAGTTTTAAAGAATTGACAGAATTCGAAGAATGGTCGTTACTTTTTAATTATTTACTCGAATATCCTTCATTAATTGAAAAATCCGCTCGAGATTTAATTGATGGAAAACCCGCCATTCACAACATTTGCAATTATTTGTTTAATTTATGTTCATTGTTTAGCGTTTACTATCGAAGAGTTCGGATTTTATTGGTAAATTTATTATTATCTTTTTTCTTTTTTTTATTAACTGCATTTTACATATAAAAAATTTTATTTCAGGATTCTAAAGAACATCTCATACCGTTACTACAATCGAGATTTTTCCTATGTCAAGCTATCGAACAAGTTTTAAGAAACTGTTTAAATTTATTAAACGTCGAAACCGTCAATGCTATGTGATTAATTTTCAATTGAAAAATTATATTTTTCACATTTATGAAATTGATGAAGAAAAAATTTTTTTTTTATTTCGTTTAAAATAATTCAAACCAACATTTAAATTTAAAAAAAAAAAATTTAATAGAAGAACACTTAAATTTACTTTTAATTGTTTAAAAATGTTACATATTACTAAAACTTTTTTGTAGATTGTTCGTCTTGATTTAAAAAACAAAATTGCTTAATTTTTTAAAATGCAAATCGTACAAGTGATAATTTTTATTAAAAGTTATGAAGTTTTATTTGATTCGTTATTCGAAAGACATGACACTGGCATTATTTTGGCAACTTTTCTATTTTCTATAGTGTAAGTTTTTGGGCACTGCATTTCAGTCCAACTTATCGGTATTAAAGGAACATCAGCTTCACCATAAGCACTCACTACTCCTAATTCATTTTCTGCTGTTGATAGCATATACCAATGTGATTCTGTGAAAGGAAGCTAAAAATATAAAATTAAGAAAAATAGGTAAAAACTTTTGTAGTAAAATTTTCTGTTTTAGTATCAGTCAAAATAACATTTTAAGGTTTTTTTTTGAAAATCATTATCATTATTATTTTGTTTCAAAGCATTTTTAAATACTCATTAAGATTCTTTATTCATATTTATACTTTTAATGACTATCGTTAAAATTATGAATTTCTAATTTAAAAGGATACAACTCTGGCTAAAATTATATCTCCAGGTCTAAAACATTTATAAACTTCTATTTTGTCTTTTTCAGTTGCTCTAATATCTTCTTTTCGAAGTAAACCTCTATAAGGTCTTGTTAATATGACTTCCCCCACTCCTTTAATTTCACATTTACAAAGCCAATGAGAAACAGTCATAATCTACAAAATATTATAGGAACTTTATTTGAATGTAACTTTCATTATAAAAGTTTGAAAATTATTTTTAAAATGTTCTTCTAGTAAAAACAAAAAAAATTAAATCCTTAATTAAATATTTTTTAAAAACTTATTATCATTACATATAATACCTTAGCAGTCACTATATCTCCTGGTGTGGGTACCACCGTTTGTTGGTTATAATTTTTGACTGTAACAATAGAATTTTTCTGTTGTTTTTCTATTTGAACAAAACCAGCTAAAGTAGATCTTATAAACCCATCTCTTTCAATGGTTCCAGGACCTGACACATACTCTTGATTCGCATAAGTAAGTCTTTGCCCTAATTAACAAAAGTTGTAAATTTTACTTATACATTTTACTAAAAGAATGTAATATCTTCTCGCAGATAACGAGCAGAATATATAATTAATAAAATAGACTTGATTTCTAAAAATTTAAATAAAATTTAATATAATTTTACCTGGAATACAAACCAATTTTTTGATTTCTGTCATTTTAAAAATAATACAATTAGGTAATAATAATTAATAATATATTTTACATTAATTACATAATAATTTTACTAGATAAATTTTCTAACTGAATTTCAACGTCATTTTATCGTTATTATATAATGCATTATTTTCCCCAAAAAAATATTTTTTGGTTTATATACATTAATGAAACATGAGGCTTAGTAGTTACAATTATGGCCGCTAGAGTTTGTCGTGGCAGTAATCTTAGCCGGCTACGCAATGAAAAGTAAAAGAAAATTGTCTTATAAAATTTAAATTAGGATACATATTTAATACCGTAAGTAACATTTGTTATAAATTTTTAAATCGATCATTATTTTCACGGTTATAAAAATACAATTCTTTATTAATAAATATAATACGGGTAAAATTATATTTTCTTCGATAGCACAGCTAAGTGTGTAACAGTGGTTAAATTTTACTATTAAAAATTGTTGATGTATTTTTAGTGCTAATAGTCACCCGAAAATGTATCTATTTATAAGGGTTTGATAAATTTAAATAAGGTTATGGTTTATAGGTTTTAAAACAAAAAAATTCTTATTTACGAGAGTGTTACATTATTGTTTTTATTTAAAAAAAATATTTTTAAAGGTAAACAAAGTTTTGAAAGTTTTTATTAAAACTTTAATGTTATACTTTTTCTACGTTAAAAATTCATTAATCCTAAAACAATAATTGAAGTTATTAAGATTTGAATAGTTAAAGAAAAGTAACATTGTATATTTTACTTAATGTAAGAGAGATCTTAAAAAAAGGGAAAACTTTTTGTGTTTTAATCAACTTCTGAAATAGTCGGACCAGAATGTCCTTTTTGAGATTCATTTCCACAGCTTCCTCCCTGATGAAGTTTTGTCATGTAAGGAGTGCAAAAACTTTGAACTTCCTTGTACTTATGATCAAATTCTTCTTTATCAGCCAAAGTATTGCTGTCAAGCCATTTAATAACATCCTCACATTTTGTTTTAATACTTGATTTGTCAGAATCAGATAATTTAGAACCAGCATCGTCAACAGCTTGTTTCACATTAAAGACATAGCTTTCAAGTTGGTTACGAGAAGATATTCTTTCCTTCTGCTTTTCATCCTCAGCTTTGTATTTTTCTGCATCAGCAAGCATTTTGTCAATCTCAGCTTGAGATAATCTTCCTTTGTCATTTTTAATAACGATATTTTTAGATTTTCCAGTGCTAATTTCTTTAGCATTGACATTTAAGATACCATTGGCATCCATGTCGAAAGTTACTTCAATTTTAGGAACACCTCTTGGTGCAGGTGGTATACCAGTTAGATCGAATCTTCCTAATAAGTTATTGTCTTTAGTCATGGCTCTCTCTCCTTCATACACTTGAACAGTTACAGCAGGTTGATTATCAGCATAAGTTGTAAATGTTTGAGTTTGCTTGCAAGGAATCCTTGAATTTCTTTCCACAATCTTTGTCATGACACCTCCAGCAGTTTCTATACCCAATGAAAGGGGAGCAACATCCACTAGTAACACATCTTGAATAGCTGAGCTTTGATCTCCGCTCAAAATAGCTGCTTGAACAGCAGCTCCATAAGCTACTGCTTCATCTGGATTAATTGACAAATTTAGAGATTTCCCACTGAAAAAATTTTGTAAAAGGTTTTGAATTTTGGGAATTCTTGTTGAGCCCCCAACCAAAACGACATCATGAATAGATCCTTTATCCATTTTAGCATCAGTCAAGGCTTTTTCCACTGGGAGAAGAGTTCCTCTAAATAAATCGGAACAAAGTTCTTCGAATCTGGCTCTTGATATTTTAGTATAAAAATCAACTCCATCATATAGAGCATCTATTTCAATACTTGCTTCTGTGCTAGAGGATAAGGTTCTTTTGGCTCTTTCAGCTGCTGTTCTAAGTCTTCTCAAAGCCCTTGGATTTTGTGTCAAATCTTTCTTGTATTTTCTTTTAAATTCCTCTGCAAAATGATTAACTAATCTATTATCAAAATCTTCTCCACCCAAATGAGTGTCACCTGCTGTTGCTTTAACTTCAAACAGAGATCCTTCATCGATTGTTAGAATTGATACATCGAAAGTGCCACCTCCAAGATCAAATATAAGCACATTTTTTTCTCCTTTCAAATTTTTATCAAGACCATATGCTAAGGCTGCTGCAGTAGGCTCATTAATTATTCTCAACACATTTAAACCTGCTATGGCTCCTGCGTCTTTGGTAGCTTGACGCTGAGAATCATTAAAGTAGGCTGGAACAGTTATGACTGCATCTTTGACCCTTCCGCCCAAATACGCCTCCGCGGTTTCTTTCATTTTGGTCAAAACCATGGAACTGATTTCCTCGGGTGCAAACTTTTTAACTTCTCCCTTAAATTCAACTTGAATTTTCGGTTTTCCACCATCATTGACAACTTTAAAAGGCCAATGTTTAATATCTTCTTGAATTTTACTATCATCGAACTTTCTTCCAATCAATCTTTTGGCATCAAAAACTGTGTTACTCGGATTCATTGCCACTTGATTTTTGGCCGCATCACCAATGAGTCGTTCGCTGTCATTAAAAGCAACATAACTCGGAGTTGTACGATTTCCTTGATCGTTTGCAATTATTTCAACTTTTCCTTGCTGCCACACACCAACGCATGAATACGTTGTGCCCAAATCGATTCCTATTGCCGGAGTTTTCATTTTTTTTTTTAAAATTAATTAAACTGAAAAATTCACTTTCGCTGAGTAAAATAATAATATTACACACAAAAAAAAAAAAAAAAAACGAAAAAAAAATAAGAATTGCTTAACTCAAATTTATAATTACTTTTTTTGTATTTAAGAAAACGAACCAAACGAGTTCAAAACACTTTTACGTCTAACTTTTGTTTGTAAACGAATTTGAAACGTTAAGAGCTGTCGATGCGCGTTATATAGAATTCTTATATTAGACATTCGAGAACATTCGAGAACATTCGAAAGCCGTCAGTTCGTTCGCTTTCGTTGTGAAAATAATAAAAACGGTAGGGAATTATAATTGTATCGCTTATACTTACCTTATGTATAGCAAAAATATTTAACGCGTGTTCATTCGGCGTGAGAATAGCATTGTTCGAACAACATTTTAGTACGCTATCTTATCGTAAAAAAAAACAAAAAAAAAACCAACTAATATTTTCCCCTAATGCATTTAATTCAACTTATAAAAAAAAAAACATAAAACTTGCATCCCCTTTCATTTTGAAAATCAGGGGTGTTTAAGATTTTTGAAGGGGGAAAAAAGAACAATCGATAATTTCAATAAATTCTTTTTCCGTTTTTCGTTTTGTTATTTTAAAATTTTGTAACTCAAAGATTTATATATAAATCGAAAACCCAAAAAAAAAAAAAAAATGGCGTGAGAAGAAGCATTTGACGACGGTATACGTGTTATAATTCAATTGTAAATAATAATCATTTACGATTATTTTGTTAACCCCTGTTTTTGTGGAATGCACGCACACGCACACGCACAACCACACGCACAATCCTAAAATGTGTATTTGATTTGTTTTATTATGAGAATTATAAGTTGTCTTCTTACTCGTTTAAATTAGTGTATTTTTTTCCTTTTTCTTTTTCTATTTTGTAGGGAACCTGAATTTTTGTTGTTTTTTTTTTATTTCGTTTAAGGTATAATAAGAAACAAAATGAAATGAATGATAGAAAAAAAATTATATACACATCACATTTGTTATTTAAAAATAAAAATAAAAAAAAAATTACGTAATATTATTTGAGAAAATGTAGAGAGAGAAAAATTTAAAATAAATAAAAAAAAAATTTTTTTGACCTATAATTTTAATTTTCGTTCATCTTTCATCGTTGAAAATAATATTAGAAGAGGTATATTTATAAATATTTTTTTTAAAAACATATTTCAAAATTTACTTTAACGTTTTTTTTTTTTTGTTTTCTGTTCTCTCTCATTTTGAAAAAAAAAAAAATTTTTTTTAGTTTGTTACCATCCGATTTCAATCATTTTCATCATTTAATTATCATTTTGATAGATTAATTGCGAATGAACGACAAAATTTGGCAAATAAGGAAATTTGTCGAAACTTTGTCAAAAAAAAAAAAGAAGTCATAGATATCGTTAAAAATTTAGTTTCTGGGTTGGCGCCAAAAAACTGTTTAGCATATCATGTCGATGGATGTTTTAATAAATAAGTAAATTTAAAAAAATTAAAAAAAAATTTTTTTTTTTTATTGTGAAATTTGATGTCGAATGCCAAATGGGATTATCATCATCATCATCATCACGATAAAAAATTTATTAAACGTGTTTTTTTATTTATTTATTTTGTTTATTTAAAATATGAAAAAGAAAAAATTTTAAGGGTGAGCACATAATAATTGTTTACAAATTAAAAAAAATCGAAATCGTTACTTTCGTGATGTCGTCCATTAGACAATTTTTCGTTTTATTTTATTTTATTTTTTTTTTTTTGTACACGCAAAGAACAAAATTAATTTCAAATGTTTTATCGATTGGAGAAAAAATAATAATAATAATTTTTTTTTTCTGTTTTTTTATTTCGTACCTCGAAATTGGGCGTAAAAAAATGACAAAAAATAAAAAGAAAATTTATTAGTGCAAGCAAGACCTTTAAATATTTATTAAATACGTCAGGAAAAATCGTAAAAATTATTTTATTTTTAGATATTTCATATTTTCGCGTTTCCCCCCTCTTTTCCTTTCCCCCCGTACCCCCCCCACACACACACGCACACCCCCCTCGTTTCATTTGTCACGTGTAGTTTTGTAGTCGAGTAATTTCAGCAATAAGATAAAATGATGGGAAAAAATGGGGGAAAAGAGAAAAACATATCGACATCATCGTCATTATTAACATGGCGCACCTTTTTCCTTCTTCTCCCCACCCCTCCCCCCCTCTTTCCCCCATCCCCTTCCCCCCCCGCTCGATTCTTTTTTTTTTAAAATCAAAATGGAAATATAAGGTGTAGGTTCAAATGTAACAATTTTAATGCAACGTACAAAATGTGAATAAGTTAAACATGAAAATTAATTATTTAAAAAAAAAAAAAAAAAAAAAAATGATTTAGCGACAATTAATGATGATGATTATTATTATTATTATTACTTTTTTTCCCCTCGTAATAATTTGTAATAACGATCGTGGGTTGTTTTAGTTTTATTTGTTTTTTATTTTTATTTTAATATTTTAATTTTTTTTTAGTTGATGTATATTTAAAAAAAAAAAAATGCATTTTGTTTATTTATTTTTATTTTTATTTTTATGTTTTTTTTTTTTTTTTTTTTTTTTTTAGGGGAATTGAATTAAGGAGGGCGGGAATTAAATATATATATATATATATATATATATATATATATAAATGACGAAAATAAATTTACGAATCGGACAAATCCCCCTTTCGCCCCCCACAAAAACAAAATAAATGCTCTCCGATGGTTTTTTTTTTTAAACGTGTAATAAATACAATGAAATAAAAAAAGGCGAAGTTTTTTTCGTTTAACATGAAGGTTTAAATGTAACAAACAAACAAACAAACAAGTGAATGTCGTAATAATAATTTAACATTAACGTTTAACAAAAAAAAAACAGGAAATAATTATCGTGTTTGTTTTAATTTTTTTTTTTTTTTTTGTAATTTTTTCGAGATGAGTACATTTATATATTTGATACGTAGTTTTTTCTGAACATTTGAAGAGGAAAAAATTAAATAAAAAGTCAATTAAATAACAACAAAGTCGGTTGTTTTTTGAAAAGCATTTGGGGGCGGTGAAATAAACGTTGGCGGATTTGTATTATTATTATTATTATTATTATTTTGAAATAAGCCGTGAAGCAATCAAAGTATTTTTCAATTACCCTACGATTTATTTATACGATTTGGAAAGAAATTTTAGTTATGATTTTTTTTCTTTTTAAATTTTATTCGTTTCTCTCTCTCTCTCTCTCTCTCGGTTTTCGTTGCGAAATATAAATATTTTTTTTATAGGATCATCATTAATTTTACACAAATGGCGAACTTGTTGTTGTTAAAATGATCGATACTGACCTCTACCGTTTGATTTTTGAACTTTTGGTTTGAAAATTATTTCACAGCCTTCTTTTAGTTCCCGCCCACCGGAAATTTTTATTTTCAAAGGTTTTTTTTTTTTTTTTTTTCAAATTAGGCAGATATAATCTCGTTAAAACTAATTTAAATTTTTTTATTAATGTGATTTTTCGTGGTAGTAATTATTATTATTAATATTATTTATCATTAATGCCTCCCTCTCCCCTCCCCTCCCCTCCCCGAAAAAGAATAGATATGAATTGTTGTTTTTTCTTTTTGTAAAATAAACTTATTAATTTTTTTTTTTTGTTGTTGTTGTAGATGAAGGAATTGATGTCGATGGTGGCTTTTGCCCACTTGCTCTACTGTCCATATACAAAAGTCGAAGAAAGTTTTAACGTTCAAGCAATGCACGATATACTTTATCACAGATTTAATTTATCGGATGTAAATATAATCAGGATTGGATTTTCTTTTTTTTTTTGAATTATGTCTCACGGGATTCATTTTTTTTTTTTTTTAAATTTGAATTCGTTTACAGTACGATCACAAAGAATTTCCCGGAGTCGTACCTAGAACATTTATCGGACCGTTATTCGTATCATTATTATCTTCACCGTTCGTGATTCTATTCAACGCTTTGGGAATGGGAAAATTTTGGTCTCAATATATCGGCAAGTAAATTAATTTTTAATTTATAAAACAATTTGTACGAATAAATTTTACGGAAAAAAGAAAGAAAAAAAAAAATAGTTTTCATGTAGTAAAAATTTTTTTTTTGTTAAGTTCGAGGAGCGTTAGGTTTGTGCGTCATCATACCTTTCTTTAAATACCTTAATTCGATTGAATCATATTTTGGAAAATCTTTCACAAAATGGTATCTACTCGTGACCATATCACAATACCATTTTATGTATTATTTGACCAGACCATTGCCCAACATAATGGCCATGCCTTTGGTTCTTCTTGCTCTTCATTCGTGGCTTCGTCGACGTCATCGAAGTTTTATCATTTTTTCCGGGGCGTCCATTATTTGGTTTCGCGGCGAACTCGCACTTTTCTTCGGTACGATTTTAATTTTTGAATTCATCAACGGTTGGTTAACAATAAACAGGTAAAGGTAATATTTTTTACAACAAAACAAAAATATTTCAGGTATTATTATTATTAAAACATGACAATTAAAAAAAAAAATTTTTTTTTTTTCCAGGTTGATTAAAGTTGCAGTCCCGGCTGGTTTCATCCTTCTTTGCACTACAATTTTAATAGATTCAATTTTTTGGGGAAGATTATTGTGGCCAGAGGGTGAAGTTTTATGGTTCAACACAATTTTAAACAAAAGCAAAGATTGGGGAGTATCCTTTTTTTGGAATTTTCAAATTTTCAAATTTTTTTATAATTATTTTTTTTCTCAATCATTTATACCAGACATCACCTTTTCTATGGTATTTTTATTCGGCCATACCTCGTGGAATGGCATTTTCTGTTTTCCTATTACCAGTAGGTTTACTTAACGACACGAAAATAATAAAAATTGTTTTACCAGGTTTTATATTTGTTTTTTTATACTCGTTTTTACCGCATAAAGAATTAAGGTTTATTATATATGCATTTCCGTTGTTTAATTTGGCCGTTGCTTCTGCATGTCATCAAGCGTAAGTCGTCAATAGTCTCTCTCTAATGATTATAAGGGAAAAATGAAAATTCATGAATTTTTTTTTTTTTTTCCAGGTGGAACAATAGGGAAAAATCAAAAATTCGAAAATTATTCGGTTATGGATTTGCTGCTCACATCGGATTAAATTTTATTTTTACAATTTTTTTGTTGAACGTGGCAAAAGCTAATTATCCGGGAGGGGTCGCCATTGCTAGAATTCACAGATTGGCTTCATCTAATGAAAATGTTACTCTTCACATTGATAACTTATCAGCACAAACGGGCGTTTCGAGATTTACTCAAATTTATTCTAATTGGAGGTAAAAAGGAGGGGAGGCGAGGGGGGGAACAAAGAATTTCGCATTCCTAATTTTAATTGGAGTTTTTCAATGATAAATTATTATTATTATTAATGTTATTTTTATTACTTAAACGCAGGTATGACAAAACGGAAAATTTAAAAATTATAGAAAATGAAACTCTATTGGAATTTTCACACATGCTCGTAGAAGCCAAAAGCAAATATTCGTTGAATTTAAAACCTTTTAGAAAAACTTACGACATATTGGAATCCATCGAAGGTTTTTCTCAAATACATTTAAATTATAATATGTTTCCACCGATTCAAATAAAAACCAAACCCATGATATTCATATTGAAACGGAAAAATGAAAAAACATTGAAAACGTTAGAAAACATGGGAAAAAAATTAAATTTGAAAAAAAGAAATGAAACGGATGAAGGGGTTGAAACGTTGGAAAAATTTGAAAAAAATGTAGAAGAAATAAAAAATGATAAAAACGACGTTGTTTCATGAACAAAGAAAATTTCTTTTTAAATATATTGTAAAAATAAAAAACATTTTTGTGTAAAGTCGAAATAACAATAAATAATAATAATAATAATAATAATAATTTGAAACTTTTTATCTCGTATAATTTGAATGTTATCCGTGAGGAGAAAATTAAATTTTTTTTTTTTTTTTAAATTATATTTATTTTAAATGCACGTATGCATAAACAAAACAAAACTTGTACATGTTTATATTACAAAATAATTATCATGTAGAATTTATTTCAAGTTTTTTTTTTTTTAATTATACTTTCATTAAGTTGCCATTGCTAATAAATAAAATCCATAAAAAGAACTTATAACGCCTATAATCACTGATAATGTCGCCGCTTGAAATACTATCGTGTCTACAGCACCTCTTTTTAAATATATTGGCAACCCATTATTTTGCTAAATAAGAATAATAAAAAAATTATTAAATTTTTTTTTTTTTAAGAATGACAAAGAATTTCATTGTGAGAAATTTAAATTCAAATGCAAGTGACTTACTTGAAACAAACATTGGTATTTTTTAATTCTAGTCAAGTCCATTGCATCAGGATCGTTTGGTAATGGAAAACAGTATTTACAGGGATTTCCACTATCTGTTATGGCTGGGCATAATTTTGCAGAGTGTGATTGTGCTGGTGTAGGACACGGAGGAGTGTTTACACATGGTGATGGAGTGCTTGGTGGTGTTTGCGGATTTTTAGGAGAGCATGGTTCTGTAAAACTGCGTTTCCACACCTTGTAGTAATTTATCTTGACAGTTTTGTCATTGCACATCAATAATCTTTTTAACTGTGACATAAATTATGATTTCTCAAAGTAAACATTTCATACTGTATATTATTATGAAAATTCATTTAAAAAAAAAAAAAAACAAAAAACTTGTTTTAATTGGGAAAAAAATTTTTAACTCACCATTTTTTAAATCGTTTTAAAAATATTAAATAAAATTTTTAGTAATTTTTAAAGAAAATAAAAATAAACTTTTTTTGGTTTTTAAATTTACTTATTTATATTACATAAGGTAATAATAAAAAAATTTTTCTTTTGTTTTTAATAACAACAATAATAATAATAATAATAATAATAAAAGAAGGGAAAAAAAAATTTTACAGTGTTGCACGATTATATCATTTGGCAATATTAAGAATCATTCTTTTACTTCTATATATATTACCTAAAGTTGCAAAAACAAAATAGAAAGAGTATTTGTTTAATAAAAAAAAAAAAAAAAAGAATAATTTTTGACATAATATGTTTGAAAAATATTTATTATTTTCAAAACTGATTTTGATAATTAATCAGAAAAAAAAAAATTTTTTTTTTTTAATTTTAATATAATACTACTGATTAGAATATTTAAAACAAAGATCCTATCATTGTACACTAATTTTTGAATGGTCACAAATTATTTCTTATTTGCCAACTGATACATAGCTCTAAAAGACATTCCTACACCCAAAATTACTAATGCTGTTGATGTGTAATATAATACTACATCTAGGCTTCCTCCTTTTAGGTGAACCGGAAGATCATTCATAACTTGAAAATGAGCTTGATACTTTTTTATTTTGGACAATCTATCTTTATCGAGCCGCAATTCAGATGTTCCAAAATTCCTAGCACACGTTTGGGCCAAAAAAGGTGTTCTTTTCTATAAAATAAATTTATATATTTTATAAAAAATTTTTATCAAAAAATTAATTTATTTATTTATATGTAAACTTACAATTAATTGAATCATACTGTACAAGGCTGGGATTCTCTAAATTATTCGAGAACCTTTTTGCACAGTAAAGCACTTACTTAAAACCCTTCTGCGTAGAAATGCAACCAACTTAAATTTTAATCATAAAAAAAAAAAAAAAAAAAAATTCCCTGCTATGAATTTTGCGCTCGTCAAGACAAACTCAGTACAAACGTATCTATAAAATGTCAGGAGGGGATGGCTGGTACGTTCTTTTATTTATATTTTATTTTTATTTTTATTTTTTTGAAAAATTATTTTTATATATATATATTTATAAATTTACAGATTTGTTTGCAAAATTCAATTGCACTTATTGCCAAGAAGATATAAATGGATTACGGGTAAAATGCGTTGATTGTTCAGAGTTTGAACTATGCTTGCAGGTAAAATTATTTTGATTCTTGACATGAGCAAATTTAGCGGTTATAGATTTTTACTTTTTTGTTGTTTACTTAATTTTTGATTTTATTTTAAAAAATAAAAAACAAAAGTTATTATTAGGTATTATACCAATGTTCTAATAAATTTATTTTTGGTTTTAATTACAATATTATGATTAAAATAAAATAATTAATATTTATATATTTAAGTTTTATTGAAATCATTCAATTTATTTATTAAATTTCTAAAATACTGAAATTATTTATCAAAGCTTGCTTATGGAAGATCCGTGCTTATTAATTTATTTAAATTTAGATATATTGCCATCACTTTATTGTTTCTACTTATTGTTTATACTTGTAATGATAATAATTATGAAAAAAAATTTTTTGTAGTGTTTTTCTGCTGGAGCTGAAATCGGACCCCACAAGAATGACCATGCTTATCAATTGGTGGTAAATAAATTTTAATTATAAATTTTTTTTTTTTTTTAAATTAAATAAAGTAAATTATGGATTTTTTTTTTAAAATATTATTTTATTCGTTAGAATTCTGAAGCAGTTGGATTAACTTTTGGTAAAAGTCAATGGACAGCTAGAGAAGAGTTACATCTTTTAGATGCAATAGAGTTGTATGGTTTTGGCAATTGGGAAGATATAAGCAAGCACATAGAAACAAGGAGTTCAGAGGGTTAATAACTTTGTACGAGTTAAATTAAAAATAGTTTACCGTTTATTTATTTTCAATTATAAATTTTTTTTTTATTTAGAAGCCAAAGATGAATACATTAATAGATACTTGGATGGTAACATTGGAAGATTGACATGGCCTACAGCTGCTAACCTTAGGCCAAATTTAAGTGATACTTCTAATTATGACAAGGGTCCATTATCTCCTTCACTTTCAAGTCGTCTTTTGCCATTGGATGTCACTCCAGAAAGAGCTGCACAATTGGGTTATATGCCACTTAGGGATGATTTTGAAAGAGTATGTTGTATTTATTGTTTAATTTAAATTTTTTTTTATTTTTATGGTTGTTAAAACACTACTTTTAATTATTTTGTCCCAAAACACAAAACCTCTTTATTTTAAGCATAGACAAATTAAAGTGTTGATAAGTGTATAAAAATCATTTTTAAAAAATCGTCAGTCATAAACAATTCAGGTACATTTAACTTTTTTTCTTTTTTTTTTTTTTTTTTTAGGAATATGATAATGATGCAGAATCATTAGTATCATCTTTATTTATAAGTGAAACAGAGGATGAAGACTTGGATGTTGGTAAGTCAATTTTTATTTTAATTTATTATAACACCATTAACAATTACATATGTTAACATTTTATTTTTTAACCCATAATTTGTGTAAGGTTCGATTTTAACGAACCTGCAAACAAGCCTAGCATTTGTTTATTATTATAAAACGAAAAAGGCGATTTATAAATTTTGTTTGATAGCTCTCAAGTTGGTTCATGTGGACATGTATATTCATAGATTAAGAGAAAGAGCACGTAGGAAAAGAGTTGGACGAGATTATCAGTTAGTTTCAAATTTTTTTAATTCAGGATCTAAGAAAGACAAATGTTTTAATAAAAAAAAATTGACAAAAGAAGAAAAGTAAGTTTTATTATTATTATTATTATTATTATTATTATTATTATTATGTTTTCTCTTCTTTTCGTTTTCTTCTTTTAACGACAAAATAATTTTCAAATAGAGAATTTCACGATGGGATGAGAGCTTTTTGTCAGTTTCACACAGCTCAAGAGCATGAACAGTTTTTACAAAATATGCAAAGGGAACAAGAATTGAAAATAAGATTGACAGAGTTATTTAGGTATAGGAGAAACGGATTGACTCGTCACGAGGAATGTGCACATTTTGAACAAGAATTATATTACCAACAAGAGTTGTACAAAGAAAAACAAAATTCTTTGGTAAGAAATTCATTCATTGTTATTATCATTCCTTTTTACTGCTGCTAATTTTAAAATGATAAAAATTAAAAATATTTTTTATCTAATTAAATTTTAATTTTTCCGAGATGAGATGAGATCATTTTTGTGTTTTCTGTAATTGGCATTTTTATTATTATTATTGGAATTTTTTTCAACATAATTAAAAAATTAAATAAATAACAAGGGAGAAAATTATGAATTGTTTGCTTTTTGTCAGTATTATTGATTACTTACTTTTGCTTAGGATAGCAGTGGATTGAATCAAATAGATCAACCACAGATAACAACACTACTAAGAAGGTACGATTGATTGTTATTATTTATTTGTATTTGTCGTTACCACTATTATTATTATTATTGTTATTAAATAATTTTTTAGCAAAGAAAAAAGCGAAGAACACGCCTTATATTCCATCGCAAGAAAGTCCATATTAAAAAATTTGGGCAGCCAGTTTCGGATTAATGGAAACGCTAATAACGATGGAAATCCTTCCGAAGAAGTTAATAATACTTCTCAGGTTTTACTTACCGTGAGCGAAATTCAGCTGTGCAATTTATTAGACGTATCACCTTCGGAGTACTTGACATTAAAAGGAGTTCTTATTAAAGTTTGTATTTTTATTTGAGTAAATCCGGGGGGGGAAAAAATAAAAGTCGATGATTCGATGAGTCACCATTATTTGTCTTATTTTTTTTTTTTAATAGGACTCTTCCGAGACCGGAGATTACACACCTTTAGAAAATCAAGTGAAAATTTTTCTAGAAAGCAAAGGATGGCTTTACGGTAATTTACCTACCGATGTAATTTCTTCGTGATGTTATAAAAAACGATCGAAATGAATTTGAAATTTTTTTTTTTGTTCGGTAGACTTGCCAATTAGAACTGATTAATGATGATAATAAGTAGCCATCGAATGAGATGAATTAATTTATAATTTTTTATAAAATAATCGCTTTAATCACTGATAAGGCTTATATATTTAATTTTAATCGAAAAATAATTTTTTTTTTTTTATAATTAAATAATAATCAAATCAAATCAATAGATGATGGTATATTATTTCAATCAATCAATAATATAATTAATAAATCAATAATTTTTTGAGTATAATAAATAGTATACAAAATTTACATTTTTTTAAAGAAAAAGTCCTTGAATTTTGATTAAAAGTATATAATTCGTTACAGATAATTTGCAGAATGTTTACTATAAATTTATACTTTTAAAAAAAATGGTATTTTATGTATGCAAATATATTTGTGGTCATAGACATAGACGTAAATTTTTTTAATAACAAGGCTAAATTTTTTGTTTGTATTAAAAAAAATTGCTTATCGTCGAGAATGATAGTTAAACAATATTTAACCTTGAGAGGTTGTTTTTAAATTTGATAGGCCGTTTGCCACGCATTGTTTTGAATCTTAATAAATTTCTACTAATAATATTAATTTTTTTTTTTTTTAATGTCAATATTATTTTTATTTTGAAAAAAAAAAAGTTTGTTTTCTTACATTGATAATCAAGGTAAAAAATTTGTTTTGGTTTTGGTTTAAGTCGTTTTTACGAGTTTTAATGAATGAAATGAATAAAAAAAATTAATAGGGGACTTGGAATTATCTAATTATATTTATTTGATGTTAGTATTTTATAATTCTAAAGATTTTACCGTCATTGTACTAAAGAATTTATCGATTTTATCATAAATAATGATTATCTTTATCAAGTGTAGCAGATGAACTTATTAATCTTTTTAAACTTGAAAAAATTTTTTTTAAATTTACATTACTTAAAAGGCAATTATTGGCAAGGATAAATATTAAAAACGTACGAGTTATATAAGAGAAAACATTATTTTATAATAATAATAATAAAAAAAAAAAAAATCACATTGATGGAAAATCCAATTGTACATATAATTGTTTGATTCCTATTTCAGCGAATATCATATGTGTGTGACGAATAATATATTTGTGATCTGCAGATTTTGAAACTTCTAATTTAATCCCCCCTACATATGTATTACTACAGAGTGTCCAAAAATGAGGTTCTTGAACGCTATAAACACCTGCCAGTTGCATAACTTTGTTGTAGCACTGGGGAAGCACATGATCAAGTGACACAGGTTGTCGTTGCATTAATATCATATATGAATCTTTGATTAACGGATATATACTGGCTGTAATTAAAATGGCTATAAAAATAGAACATATAGGATCTGCAATCATCCATCCAAAGTATTGCATTAATAGAGAAGAAACTATAACTCCAACACTTCCCAAGGTGTCGGCGAGAATATGTAAAAATACACCTTTCATGATATGAGAGTTAGAAGCAGGCAAGTCATTGTGAGAATGACCATGGCCATGATGGTGATGATGATTAGAATGAGAATGACTATGATTATGACCGCCAGAATTTCCACTGTGCGAATGCCCATGTTGAAAAGCATATATTCCAATTAAATTAACTAAAAATCCTAAAACTGACACGACGAAAAGTCTTTCATGTTTAACTTCCGGTGGTTCTAATGCTCTTTCAATAGCTTGAAAAAAAATGGATCCTGCTGTAAAAAGCAGAAAGAGAGCATTGCAAAAACCAGCAAGAACTTCAGCTCTCACATAACCATAAGAATATTTTTCATTTGGTTTTTTTCTAGTGACTACTGTAGCTAAAATTCCAGCTAAAAGCCCTGAGCAGTCGAAAAACATATGAAACGAATCGGAAATAAGCCCAAGACTGTTTGTCCAGTAACCGTAGAATAATTCAATAAATGCAAATGATAAATTTAGGAGTAAAAACAAAAATAAATTCCTTGAACTTTTTTCCGAAATTATCAGTCGACAGAAATTTTGAATTGATTCTTTTAAACGATTTCCCCACCACATTCTTGAAGTTGCATCTTTATATGATACAGGCAACATTTTGGTATAGCCTGTAGTAAACCCTAAAAACAATTTATTAATCTTAATAAAAATTTTGAAAATGTCTGGTTAAAAAAATTTTATAAAAAAAAAAAACTTATTAAATCGTATACGTATATTTACGCTTTTAAAAAAAAACAAAAGTAATTATTATCAAAGTTTAATTATTGAAAAAAAAAAAAAAAACAATTAAACGCTTACCGTTTCTTCAGGAATTATTATTCAAAGAAAAAAAATAATTTAATACTAGATGCGTTCCATCCTATCCCCCATTGATAATAACTTTATTTAAATTTAGAACCATATGTAAGGTAATAATCATATCCGGCAAATACAATATTTTAATCATTAATAAATAACAGAATTTATAAAAAATTATAAAGATAAAAAATTAATTAAAATGTAAAAATATTAAAAAAAAAAAAAAAAAAAATTATTATTTTGGTTGGACACTTGTATGCGTGTCAAACTCTCTGTTTATCGTTTCAGTATATCTTGGTAAGAAAATTGACAACGTCTCCGGTATCAGTGATTTGTCGACAAAAGTAAAAAATTTTTAGCAGAGCGAAACATGGTGAATTTTGTCGAACATTCGACAATGGTTTAGGCACATCCGGTTAGTAATCCTTTGTAGTGTTAAAGAAAAATGGTAAGCATGTCATTTATTATATTTCGCTTAATTTCGTTAAATATATATTCTGATATTCATTATTGTAAATTATTTAGCTTTATTTGCGTCGAACTATAATACTGCACTTAATATTATTTGATAAAAAAATGTTTTTGGTTAAAATAAATTAATCCATGTGGTCTCCGCCATTGGCTTCACACGTTTGCATCGATCATAATAATGCGTGTATCAATAAAATAACTCATATCAAGTCAAATTTTATGATGATAATTATTTTTTTCTGTAATATTCCGTGACGGTTAAGTCTGATTTAATGAGTCTGATAAATTTGACTTGGTTCTAATATATAATAATTTATTACAGTAATATCACGCCTATGTGAGTTATTTGTTTAATTTAATATAATATCGTTTCAGCCTCCCAAGAAAGATTCTAAAGGGGGCTCTTCTAAGCAACCCCAAAAAACTCAAAAGAAGAAAGAAGGAGGATCGGGTGGTAAAGCTAAAAAGAAGGTAGAGAAATAATTGGACTATTTAAGATAAAAAAGTTAGTTTTTTTTTTTTTGTAAGTTATTAATTTTTTTTTTTTGTCGAAATTCAGAAATGGTCCAAAGGTAAAGTTAGAGACAAATTAAACAATCAAGTCTTGTTTGATAAAGCAACATATGAAAAATTATTGAAGGAAGTTCCAACATATAAACTTATAACACCTTCGGTAGTGAGTGAAAGGCTTAAAGTTAGAGGATCATTGGCCAGAAGGGCTTTAAATGAACTTCTTCATAAAGGTTTTTCATTAAAATTTTTTTAATTTTTCTTTTTTTCTCCTTGTATAAGTTTGATATCACTTACACCTTTGATTTACAAAAAATATTTCAGGTCTTATTAAACAAGTAATTAAACACCATGCTCAGGTGATATACACAAGAACTACTAAGGGTGATGATCCGGCATCCTAAAAATGTAATTTTTATGTTTTAACAATAAAATATTCAATTTGTGTTTATTTGTACATTATTTAAATACAAATTGATTTTTAAATATACATTTTATATAATTAATTTATCCTTTGTTTTTATATATATATATATCGATATTTTCACTTATATCGCAGGGTGAATATCGTTTGTTTCTTTATTTTTGTTTTTGATATTATTATTATTATTATTATTATTTTTTCATAGTGTGAAATTCATCGATGACTACCATGTATTGAAGAAATTTTGTAACATATACACTTTGACACATTAGTTTTTTAATTACTAGATAAATTATCAAATTTTAAATTATAAATTATTATATAAAGGAATTATATAGATTTCATGGGATATGTAGTAGTAGAAAAAATTATATGAAAAAAGTCGATGATATAATTGTATACTTTAAATCATACATATATTTTTTGCCATATTAGTTGTAGATGTCAATTGAGGTAAAAATAATATTAGTATCAATTAGTTAGCTAATGGTTACTCGTTTTACACAAATAAAATATTCAAAAAAAGAATAATAATTTTTTGATAATAAGGGATTAATGTATGGTTGGTTTTTTTTTTTTTTTTTTTTTTTTTTTGTTTTTGTTTGTTGTCTGGATAAATAATTAAAAAAAAATTTGAAAAGTTTTGATGGAGAGAGAGAAAAAGAGAAAGAGAGAAAGAGAGAGAGAGAGAGAGAGATAGAGAAAAAAAAAAAGATAAGAAAATAATAATAATAAAATTGAAAATAATGATCACTCATATGATTTAGCCGTACAAGGTTCAGTGATTGGTACCGTTGACGCTTTTCGGAGGATTAATATTAATAATTTCATGTGTTCTCATAACATTTTGATAGGTGGGTGCTGAATGAACGAGCCTTCCCGCCAGTGCAGCTGCTCTTTCACGTCTAATCCGAACCCATTCATGATTAACTAAATTTTCTAATCTGAGCCTTTTCGTCAAATCGGGCTCAAGTATTTGTTTAACAAGAGTTTTAGCCAGAGGGGACACGCTTTCTCGTACTTTTGTTCTAAAAGTCCAGTTCTTGGATGTTTGATCTCTAAGCAGCTTTCTCAAATTGGAATCATCGAAAGGCATTGACGCGTTGAGCATAATAAAAAGAATTATTCCAAGTGACCAAATATCGGCCAATTTCGGATTGTAGGGCGTACCGCTGACGACTTCAGGGGCCGCATAAGCAGCCGAACCGCAGTATGTATGACTTAATATTCTATGTCCGTCATTATCAATGCAATACCTGGCAAAACCGAAATCTGCTAGTTTAACATTAAATCTTTTCGACAGCAATATATTTTCGCATTTAAGATCTCTATGCGCAATGTCTTTATCGTGTAAATATTGAAGTCCGCTTATCATTTGTCGAAACCAAAGTTTTGCCTGATGTTCAGGTATTATGCCAGTTCTTTTAACAAAATCAAGGAGATCTCCATTGTCTGCAAACCTCATGAATATAAACACTCTTGGACCCCTTTGAAGTATGCTGTGAACTTGTATTACATTTGGATTTTCTATTTTTGTTAGAATTTCAAGTTCTCTCGGGAAAAATTTATTAAGAAAATCTTTTGGAGCTTTTTCTTTATCAAAGATTTTACATGCCAAACGCATTTTTCTTTTAGAGGAATCATCGATGTAATCGGCCACATGTACGGTAGCATACGAACCTTGACCGACTTTTTTTCCAATTAAATATCCTCTTTGCTCCAAAGCATTTAATTCCGAATTTTTCGGACTTAGCAGCGAAGTTTCCGCCATTTTATGATATTTGTTTTGTCAAATTTTTTTTGCACTTGATTAGAACTGAACTCCTCTGGCTCAGTCATTGGGAAAGAGTAATTTTGTCATTTGTTATCATACTTAATAATTTTTACCTAAAAAAAAAAAATAATTTTTAAAAAAATTATATTAATATTTCCGGGACGGAGGAGGAGGAGGAGGAGGAAGGGGAAAAAGTAAATTAAATTCTAAAGTAAACAAAGAAATATCAACTAACTAACGATTTTAACAAAACGCGGTAATAAATATTTAAAGTTTAATTTTTTTTTAAAAAAAAAAATGACAATATTTGAATAGACTTGAAACGTAATTTTATAGAAAAAAAGAGAATTAAATTTATTTTTATTTAAAATTCATTATTTAAAGATTTTATAGGAGACACTTATTACAACAACCATTAACTTAATAATAATAATAATAATAAAAAATTAGTTTTGCGGTTTGATGTGAATGTATTAATATATATATATATAATATAATAATCTTAAAGTTATCATAATATAAACAAATCATTGGTTATGTGGGAAAATATTTATAAGTAAACAATTTTATTAAAAAAAAAAAAAAAAAGTTTCAAAATAATTAATAATTAACATACCTTGTAATATATCCTTTTTTGAATTTCCGAGTACGTAAATAATCTCTAACTGAATAAACTGTGATTTTTCAATGGCCATACAAAAAATATCATGGAAAAAAAAAAATTAAAAAAAACTTTTTGTTTATATTTTTTTTTTTAAAAAAAGAAAAAGAAAAAAGGAATAAAAATGTCGAATTGAGTTATGAACAAAAAAAAAAAAAAAAAAATAACAACAATGTCGGACATGTACGAAAAAAAAGGATTTTTTTTGTAATTTGTTAGGGAAAAAAAAAAAATTTTTGTTTTTGTTTTTTTTTTATTTATTTTAATTAATTAATTAATATAAATATATGGTTGGACGGTTGGATAAGTTAATTTACCTTGGGTTATGTATGAAACTGTATTAACTCAAAAATTTAAACGCAAATATTATTTTTTAAATATTAAACAATAATTTTATAATAACATACCAAATAAAAATAATTTTTTTTTTTTTTTTTTTTTTTTTTAAAAGGTTTCCAAAAACAAGGGGGATTTTCTATTTTTTGTTTAGTTTTGGAACGCTTTCGAGATAAGTCAGTGATGAGAAACATTTCTGATGAAAACTTTTTCCGCCAAAAAACCGTTATCTACTGACACGTCCCTTTTTTTTTGTTTTTTTTTTTTTTTTCCCCCCCCCATTTAGTTTTTAACGAAATTTAACCGGGCTTCGGATTTTGATTAGAAATTTTTTTTTTTTTTCCTGAATAAAATAAAAATAAAATTTTAGTAAATAGCAGAAGATGAATCTATTTATAGTCTTTTATTTTTATTTCTTAAAACGAATATTAATAATTGTGTTGTTTTTAAATAAATATTTAATCAACTTGTTTCCGTTAAATCGATTTCATGATGATTAAGGTATTGTAAATAATATTTATATACTTTTTATTTAATAATTATATATATATAATATCATAAAAATTATAAAAAAATAGAACGACTAGCATTTAAAAAAACAACATTTATTATTATTATTATTTTTTTTAATATACGTCTAAAGTTTTTTTTATTTTTTTTTGTCGAAAAATTTTTATTATTAAGGGATATCATTTCACAATATACATATGTAAATATTTATACTTCTTTTTTTTCACATTTTTTTTACGTATTAAGTAATTATATAAACATTAAAACCTTTTTTCTTTTCACTTATTTTTTTATTTTTGTATATTTATAATACGAGTTCACTGCTCTTTTATCATTTATTTAAATTGTGAGGAATTTTTTTTGTTTTTGTTTTGTTTTTAAAAATTTGTAAAAAAAAAAAAAAATGAATGAATGAAAAATTTTAAACTGATTATGCATGAAATAATAATAAGCAGCAGGTTGCTAATATTTACTTTTTTTTTAGTTAATATGGTAATTAACAGGAAAACAAATGACAATTTTTTGTTACTCACTTCCTCTACAATCTCTTATTACTTTTAAATTTATTAATTATTAATTTTTATTATTGCTTAAAATATTTTTTAATTTCACCTTTAATACCTCATTTAATAAAGTTTTAAAACTATAAACGGAGGAAGACACGTGAACTTATTATGTCAACTGTGCGTTTGTATAGTAATAATAATAATAATAATAATAATATCGTGTGATTCGAGCTCATAAATCCATTCTTCTCCATTTTTCTACGGCTTCTTTCCTGGCATCCGGCACCAATTGACTTCTCACGCCTCCAATTACATTATTTGTAGCTTCTGTGGCAAGAATGATTGGTTTGACGACCGTTGGAGGTATCTGTCGGAGCACTCCTCCCACAGCACCTGTAACACCTTTTTGTTCGTGTTCCTCACTGGCAACTCTTACAATGGTTTTCGCTGTTTCTCCAATGCCCTGATGTTAAATAAAAATTATTCTCATTTTAAATTATTTTTTTAAAAACAAAACACACCGTCTCTCTTTGGTTGATTTACCTCTTTCACGACCAAATACGCTATCGCCATTCCTTCCCTTATATCCGCAGGTTGAGAATACCGTTTCGTTTTTCCTTTACCCTTTTGCCTGTTCGTTTTGACGCTGGGCCCGGGAGATACCATGTCGTAAGCCGTTTCTGCCGTCGTTTGTATAATTTGTATTAATCGACTAATTAATTCCAGTGACGCCATTGCGGTCGAAGTCGTGAAAGAATTGGCTCCTCTTTGAAATCCCCTCATTAAACGCCCGTCTTTTTGATATTGTTCAATGGGTAACCACAGCAAATCTCGAATTCCTTGAACTAAGAAAATTATTTTTAGCAAAAAGGGATTTTGCGAACGGATAAATATCCGAGGACAAACGTACTTAGTTGAACAAGAGAATGCATTGGACCCACACCGCCGAGCAAACTGGGCAATTGATTTTTTTTTATATCGTTGGCCCACTCCAACAATACGAAATTTAATAATTTATCAAAACCTAAAAGGCCGTGCCTGTGAGATATTTTTCTTAACCTTAGCTCGGAATTATTTAATTGTCCGAGACCCATAAGTATGCCAGCCAATGACCCGTGTGACATGTCAACTCGCTTCCCGTGATAATCCAATTTAACCGGAACTTCCGGACTGAATATGAAACACCTAAATACATAAAATTTATTTACTTTGTTCGTGTAAAAATAAACTCGATGAATTTGGTAAAAATACCTAATAAATATAGGTTGAGAGGGGGGTTTGTTTTTCGGAATGAATTTTTTCCTTTTGTTCTTTGAATTTGACATTATTTTTTTTTGACTTTCTTCTTCAAGATCAATAAGCAAATGTTGAGGTTCCGAGTGAGAAACTTGAGAATTTCCTTTTACGTTAACCGTCATAACTGGCACTTGATGCTTTGGCGTTTGAGTTCTCGAACTGCAGTCTTCTTCTAAAAAAAAAAATCATTTTATTTATAATAAAACAGGCAAATATGAGTTTTTTGCAATCGAAAACCACAATGAAAGTTTATACCATCTTCTTTATTGTCACCGGATAATTCGCTAAAAAATTTAAACAAAAACAATATGGAATCCTGATCGATGTTTAATCGTAACGGAAGTAACGAAACTTTCAAACAACATTCTTGAACGTTTATTTTCGGATCCGATCTCATTAGTACGGATTTAACGACAACCTATTAAAAATATAAAAAATAATAAAACTTTTCCCATTTGAAATCATCGCCATGTTTGATTGATTGTGATAAACATACCATGGGTGCCTGAGATTGTTTAGGTTTAGCTTCGCTCGAATATTGATAAAGAAATTTATTTATTGTACTCGTCGCGAGTCTATCCCTCAATTCCACATCTTGTACTAATAAAACTTGCCGGGAAGCTTCTGTTGTATTTTCCGGGTAAACTTCGTGTTGAAATCTCACCTGATTCCAAAAAAAAATTATTAAAATATAAATTGTGATTATCGTAATTGTAAATCTTTCTTTTTTTGTTTACTTTATTCAATTGAAGTTCCATTAAAATATCATGGCGTCTATTCGTTCCCCCTTTTTGCCTCCAATTCAAATGATCCCTTTTCTTTTTGAAATTAATTTCTTCATTAAAATTTTTAGAAAATGTTACGACCGTTTCCGATACGTTTTTACTCGAATAATTTCTAAAATTTCAAATTATTTTTATTTGTTTACATAATAGAAAAACATTTATTAAAAATTATTTGTTTATTACGTATGTAATACCCTAATTTTTGATTAGAATCAATTTTATTTTTCGAATTTGTTGAATTGGTATCAAAATCACATCCTCCGTAAATGTGCCATATCAATGACATTTCTCTCAGCATGTAACGCAAATCGGGCTTTGGATAATGTTTTGGCGATCGTAGTAAATCGGCTTTTTCCAAAGGTATTGAAAAGTGGTTATCCACAAGTCGAATTGGAGTTTTGGTAAGATTTCTAACCTCTGGCAAACCTTTCTTCGGCTGAAAAGCAGAGCGCATGCTAAATCATTTAATATACACACGTCGATGGAAAAAATTATTAATGCATACCATCATTCCCATTCCGGCTTCATTTTGCACGATGTAAAATTCCTTTTCCCAACCATCATCCTTATCTTCGTAATTCGAATTACTCAAATCGTTAGACTCGGAACCCAAACTAAAAACTTTGTCTTCTTCGTCCTCGTTTGTCGTTTTCAAACGATTCGCCCTGCTCGAGTCTTCTTTACCGCCACTTCCTTTCTTATTATTTCCCTCGGCTATTTTAGATTCTTTCATGGCTTCTTCGATTAAATCGTTGACTAAGGCCACTTGTGATTTAGACAAACTGTGTAAATTATCGCCGTCTTCCGTTTTAATCAGTATTTGTTCTTCCGCATCGGATTTTACCGTAGTGTTAACTTTTCCCGATTCTTCTCTGTTCGATTCGTTAAAATTAATATCGCCGTCCGACGCAAAATACATTAATAAATCCGCTAACGCTTTTGCAGAATCCGAACAAGTCCAAATGTGTGCAACGTTTCCCGATGCCCTCAAATCTATTTTCGGATTCGTTTGACTTTTTTCACTCAATCTCAATGACAATTCAAACAATCCTAATTCTATGACGCAAATGTAATCGTTTTTTAAATCCGCAGGAGAATCAGCGAAACGTACGCCAGTTTTATCGGATATGAAAAAAGCCGCATCTTCTGCTATAAATCGCAGCGTCGAAGAACTTTGAGCAGCTATGTTACTTGAAATGTTAAAATTTCCGATTGTGAGCACGGATCGCAAAGGAAGGTACAAAGGCCTGAAAAATTATTTTGCATTTTATTACACACATCGATGTTTTTGTTGTTTTCATTTTTTCGCCATTACAAAAAAAGATACCTGTAATCAACGCTGCAATTCCATAAATGTACGTTTATCTCTGACAAAACCGTGTTTGGGTCGTAACCCGCAATCGGATAGTCGGTCACGTCGAAAAAATCAATTAATTGAGTAAACCAACTATTTTGTTCGCTGCAGACTTTATGAATTAGTGTTGCTTCTCTGATTCCAATGGCGACGAGAAACATCTAGAAAAAAATTTTTTTTGATCGTTACTGCTTTTTCCTTTCTTTCTCGACGATTGTCATCTTAAAACTTACCTTCAATCCCTGCGATATATTTTTTTGTACGCGAACGGCAACTGTTAACATGTTACAACTTTTCGATGAGCCTGACCCGACGAAAGCCGATTCATTAATTAAGGCACATTTTTCCGTTTTTTTAACGGTCAATTCCAAATGGCTGGGCGTTGGATTATCGAACGTATAGAGAACAGGTTGTTCGACTGCGTCGTTAATCGAACCTGAAATTATCCCATTTTAGAGGTTTTGAGATTTGAACAATCCTAGCGTCAGGAAAAATATTTTCACTACTCACCATTGTGATGAAAAGAAAAATGAGTCACTTGAACGCAAAAATAATCCAAATCCGTTTTTCCTTTGAACCCGGAAACTAAAAATAAATTTCCCTCTTCGAAAGAAATATACAAATGTCCGTTTTGTCTTGGAATGACGTTACCCAGGGAATCCCTAACGGGAGCATAAACACTAAACAATCCTTGATTAATGTTTAATTTTAAAACGACTTTGCTTTGACCCGTCAAACTATTGTTTTCCAACAACTGTTTTTTTTTGTGTCTTTGTTTTTGTTCGTAAACCGAATAAAAAATACCATCCTGAGATTCCGAATCCGAATCGGATTCTAAAACAAAAAACAGAATTTAACTTTCATTTAACGTGAAACGTGATCAACACTCGAAATTAAATCAAGTACTAACCGCATTGTGCGGCAGATTTACAGAGGCTAAAAGTCGGTGCAAAATTATTATCACCTTCTGAACCTGATTGAAATTTCGATTTTGAATTACTGAAAAAATTATTTTGCACAGGAGCAGACGATTCCCACAACAACAAATCATTTGAAATTCTATAATAAACACGAAATGTAATAATAATAATAATAACATCCATCTATCGGTTTTTTAATTTAATTACTCATGGGGGAAAAAGAAAAATTTCCTCACCGATTGTAAATAACTTCGTACATGTGTTTGGATAGAAAAACAAGGGAAGCTGTCGGCAACATCACATCAATCTTAACTCTCGTGTTAACGGATGCGAAATCCATAAATTCCGACATTTCAGTATTGTCACCGGGTATTACAAGTTCTTCGCCATCTTTTTCTCCAAACGATGATGATTCTTTCTTCGAGTGTGGCGTATCGCTTTCGTGCACTACTTTTTTACAACTGAATGGAGAACTTTCTTTTTTCGTCGTGTTCTCCAAAGTCGAAACTAAGGATTGACCTAAATTGTGACTGGACGATTTGTATTGACTGACGGGAACGTCGCCATCATCTAAATGATTTGAACTCATTTTCGGGTATATGAATATCGTAAGTCTGAAATCGACAGAAAAAAAAAAAAAATTCCAAAAATAATTAATTACAATTATTATTATTATTAATAAAAGTGATGTATATATATATTTAACCTGGGCCAATCGAATCCATCTTCGCCACGTTCGTAAGAGTTATTATTAGAAACAACGGAAGCTTTGGCAAATTCGACTGGTTTATCTCCATCGGATTCCTTTCAGAAAAAAAAAATTTACAATTTCAACCATAGTTTATTGCAAATGTTATTTACATCTCTTTATTTTTAAATATACCTTAAATTTAGCAATGAAATCTCTAAATTCAATTTCGTATTTGAAAAAAGGTTCCAGAGGTGTGATGACGGTTCGAACCGTTATATCATTCACGTCCAAATATATAATATCTTTTCTAACGGATCTTTTCCACCAAGGAGGTTTATCCATGTCGTGAATGGGTCTAAGATCTGGAATGGGAAATCTAAAAATAAAAAAAAAAAAAAAAAAAACGTAACAAACTTTTAAATATCGATTTATCGTCCGAGAAAGCACAAGCATATATGCGATCAGTTAATTTTTACCTTATTTTAAATGTAACAAAAGAAGAAGTGATTTTAATAGATTGTTTTCCATCGGGATATGAAATGCTATCAATTACTTGTTGAATATGTTCGTCACTTAGCTAAAAAAAAAAATATAAAATTAACACAATTAATAAAAACCGCCAAGAAAAATAATGAAATTCGATCGAACGGTTAATTTTTTTTACCAAATTTGAAGATGAAGGTAAAACGGTTTCGCTAATTTTTCCGTTAAAAAATAATTCGGGATTTATAATTGCTACTATTCTATCAACAATCGTGATGTCAATTTCAGTTTCAAACGGTTGAAAATCAAATCTAAAAAAAAATAATTATGACAATAGGTAATGAGTTTATATAAATTTTTAAAGAAGAAAAGAAATTATTACTGACGCAAATTCCGATTTAGGTCTGATGTATTTTCTACCCTTTTTACCAGAAGAAGAAGAATCACTTTCGAATAATTTAAAATTAATCGTCACGTTTGGCTGTTGTGTGAACGACTGCGAAGATTCATTATCGGAATTTTTAAATTTTAATAACTGCAAATAATAAATTAATATTTTTTTTTTTTTAACGAAATTTTTAACGTTCTTTCGGTTCTTTAAAATAATAATAATAATAAATTCTTCTCACTTCGACGTATTGCACACTTTTTTCCCCTTCCATCTTTTTTTCAATTAAACATTCTAATATTTCTAAACTACATGCTGTACATTGACCTTGAATAACGGATTTTTGTGTGGATGATGTTTCGCTTCCTTCTATAATTATTGGGGCTGCTAAAAACCTGATGAATAAAAAAAAAAAATTTTTAGTAAATCCCTCCCCCACCCCACCCCCCCCAAGAAAAGTTTTTTCTTATAAAGGCACATTACCTAATGTGATTAAGATCGCAAACATCTAAAAAAATTTTTCTAGCTTTTTGAAAATCTTTATTTCCGTAACCCGAACCGACAAAATGTTTTAACTTTTCGAAAAATTCATTTGACAAATTTTTCATTTCTTCATACGATGAATTAGATATTGTGCCACCACCATGAGATTCTGTTGTCAGAGTCAATACATCTTCGTGAAGAAGTATAACGGCTACACTGCTTAATAATATGTGAAAATGAAAAACTATAGAATTTGAATCTAGGTCCTCATTGCCTAATACAAAAACATATCGTATTTAAAATTAAGTTTTTATATAACAGGTATAAAACAGGTTTTTCTTTTTTAAATTCATACCTGAAAAAGATCCTTTTTTTGCCCGTGTCGAAGGGATTTTTTGTTGATAAGAAGATGCACTGGTTAATGAAGTAGCAGAACTGCACATACTATTAGTAGAAGACATGACACTATCATTTAAACCGTAAGAAAGATGAAGAGGAACAAAATCGTCTTCTTCACTGTGATCTAAATTTTTTGAAAGTTTTATTGAGTAAAACAAGAAAATTATTCACCCAAATATTTATCATTATTATTTATTTCATTTCCTAACCTAAACAAGTATTGACCCAACCCTGATTATTTAATGCTTTCGATTGATTTTCCAATACTTGATTTAAACCTAATTGAAGTTCTTGTTCTATTTTAGTAAAATCAGATTCTTTCATTAGTTTTTGACGACACTCATTTTTAACATTTCTCCTAGAAAAAATCATTTCAATTTTTAAAAAATTTTAAAATAAATTCAATTATTTGATTTGTTGATAATAAAAAAAAAATTTACCTTGATTTTTGTGCCGAAGATGTGACTCCACTTATAAGAATCATTAAACAATAAGCTTGATGAGGACTTAAAAAAAATGTTAAAGCACCTAAAGTGATTTGCAAATCAATTTTTGGACCTTCAATTCCTTCCTTTTTAAATCTTATCGTTATTTCTTGCCTGCCAGCCAATTTCCCAATAAGTATATTCATAACAGATTGTTGGGAGGGTTCTGATTGAGCATCGGTGTACTGCATAAAAATTAAAAAGTTAAAAATGCTTTTGCTTACATAATTTATAAACATTACTTACTTAGTACCTTATCAACATCATCAGACATTGTTGATTTAATAATATCAGTCGAAGGGAAAATGGAAAATTCATCTGAATATAATGAAACACCTTCTAGATAAATTTTCTTTGTAGAAAAAGCAGACATTTGAAAATCATGTTTAATGTTTTCAGTTTCTTCGGCAGCTGCTTCATCGAAATATTCCATTCTAAATTAACAAAATGGCATTTTTTGTAATTTTAAATTAACAATGTAAAAATTTGAAATGATGAAATGTTAAATTTAATACATACAATTGAATGTTAATTTCAAAAGCAATTCCTACTGGAAAGTTTTCAGGAACTTCTTCCAGCCTAATAACGGTTTTAAAAAATTTTACTCTGATTCGACTTAATACTGAAACATAAAATTTTATAATCAATAAGAAGTTTAATAAAAAAAAAAAAAAAAAAATATTTTTTAAAATAATGAGTACTTGAATCTATTGTATGAGCAAAACTTTCAATTCCTTCAAAAGCTTGATTTCCACTATCACTAGATATATCTCTTTCTTTTTTCATGCAATCTTCAGCTAATTGCAAGCTAGTAGTCATACTACTCCACATTGATTCAATCATAGACACCCCTAAAACAATAAAAAAAATTTTTTTTAATTGTTTCAGGCCATTTTTTTAAACTGGCAGTCATTGTTTAAATTAGTAAGATGTAAAATAAAATAGTATTTTTACTAGTTTTATCTCTTTCCACATTTTTAATGGTCAAGGATAAACCTTCAACTTCAATGTTAGTGGCATCAGTGAGGATGGAAGACCAAGGTACTGACACTGACATTTTTTCAATGAAGCCATCAATAAACTCAAATGGAATATTCTGTTGTTCTGCCACTTCATTTAATGCCTAAAAAAAGGCATGAATGCATGTATAAATTTAACAAAAAATAATTCAAGGATATATTTACTTTACTTAAAAATAAAATAAATTTTTTTTGTTAAAGTACTTAATAAAAAAAATTCATAAAATATATTTATTTAAAAGTGGTGTTCATCTTTTAAACATAAAAATTTTTTTTCAATTTCTTTGTTTTAAAAACAATGAACAAAATGATATGTAGTGACCAAACCTGTACGTCCAAGACAACATCAGATATAATTCCAATCCCTTTGTATAAATCCACAGTTAATTGATCTAATGTCAATTTTTCTTCCAGAAATTGTCCCAAATATCTTTGTAAAAGATATTTGCAGACACTTTTTGCAATGTGATCTGACCACGGCGAGTACCAAGGCATCTCGATGATAGAACAAAGAATTAAACGTAGAATAAAAGGAACATAAATTTTATAAAACAAAAAAAAAAATTTTTTTTTAATATTAACTTTTAAAAAAAACCAAAAAATCACTGCTTTGTTATAAAATTACGTCATTTTTTAAATTCATTGTACGGTAAAATATTAACTGAAAATCATAACGAATACTGGAATGATTTGTTATTATTCTTCATCACCATATTGAATTTTTGATTTGAAGACATGAAACCCATTCATAACGTTATATAGTTGGTGTTTGATAACAAACATACATCTGTTGTAAGCAGAGTTCATGTCAAAGTCTGACCTCTAACGAGGGAATGAGAAACTAAGCACTGCATAAGAATCTCGCGGTTTGCGTGATCTCGTTATTGGCGAGGCAAAGGAAAAGCTATTTTCGGTCCAAGGTATACAATCGGCTTTTTATATTCTAAAATTAGTTATGATTTATTAATTACAAGTACAGTGTTTTTCGACTATTATTTATTTTTTTTAAAAATTAAAACAAAATAATATAGTTATGAAATTTAAATCTTGACGCTGTGATGTTTAATACTGAGTGCATTTGGCTGGATTGTCGTACTTTCGATCGACATCGCCATGGATAAAATGAAGGAAGAAGCAAAAGTTGAACGAGTAATGGCGGATATATTTTTGTCTGCTTTTCGTTTATCAAAGATGTGATCAATATAGCGCTTAACCCATAAGTTCTATAATTTTTTTCTAAATGATATTAAGTTAACTTTAATTGTAATAATATTGTAATATGTTACATCGTCTTCACAGTAAATCTGTTTTACAGTATGCAAATAAAAAAATTCTTGTTTTTTCATTTTTTCAAATTAGTTTTAATTAATAAAAATAACAATATAGTGCATACAGTTTACCAAATAAATTTTGATTTTTTTATTAAATTATAGAATTTAAAAAAATAGTTTTTTTTTAATTTTTAACAATTATGTGTGCAAATGTGTATTAAAAAAAACGTAATTGACCTTTCCGTTGTATCCGGGAATCAATGGTTTTGAACCCAACCCTAATTTTTCTTTAGCGTCTTTTTGTTTATATTTATCAAATTATTCTTTAGTATTTTAGCATAAAATGTTAAAAATTAATTCAAACTAATTTTTTTTTTTATGTAAACAATAGAAAATTTATTGGTTCTTTAAAATATTTTAAAATCTAAAATTTGCAATTATAAAAATGATGAGTCCCATCCATTTTAATTTGATTTTTCATTTCTGAAAATTTTTATAAAACTATTAAATTAATAATTTAAATATTTATATATTATCAAAAATTCTTTTTTTTATAAATTTTAAATTATTGATCAAAATAATATCAATTATTTAATTGTATTAGTTGAATTTATATGTAATTTTTATATATTTTATCATAATTTAGTTATAAAAAAATTTATTTATTTTATTTTATTTTTTTTTTCTTTTAAAAGTTAAAATATTGAAAAAAGTATAAAGGAAAACTTAAAATCAAGATACAACATAATGAGGTTACTGTTGAAAATTTTTACAGTTTTTTAATAAATCTTAATATGTGTCAGTGTAATTCTGAAACCATTAAATTTGGTTTACATTTTAAAAAGAAACTATCAATCCAGTCTTAAGGTTTCTATTCCAAGTATCACAATGTCTTCAGGTACATTTGTGGATAGGATAGACCCTTTTGCTAAACGTTCTATGAAGAAAAAGACAAAAAAGTCGCAGGGATCATCAAGATATCGTAATTCAACTGATTTAGAAATACAACCACTTCCTTTATTCAAGGGTGAGTTTCATTTATTATTTTTTATTTATTTTATTCGAAATATATACTAACCCTTATTTTTTAAATTATCAATGAATATGAATGAGTTTTTTTTTATAGATTTTTTAGGCGTTTGAAAAGCAATGAATTGTAATAATTTATAATTTTTTATTAATTCAATATTTTTGATCGCATACAATTCATGTTAATATGAATAACGGTTAATTCGAGGGATATTAATAATGTTTGTACGATTAAATCAAGTTTACTAATTTTATTTCAACTAAAATTATGTAAAATCTAAATAACTTTAAATTTTAGGCATTCATTTGAAATGCCTGCAGTAGGGGAAGGGGGGGTAATGAATTTATGAAACTATAATTAGAGCATGATTGTGTTTGTTTGATTTTCAGGTTTTGTGCCTGTTTAAATTTTTTTAAAACAACATATTAACGTGTTCATAACATATTCATTGATAAATTTTTGTATTTTTTAAATATTAATGATATCGAATTGAGCGTTTTAAAAAAAAAAAAAAATTTTTTTCCAACTGAAGTATTTTCGAATTGTTCAAATTGAGATTTGAAAAATTTTTTTTGTCATTTACAATTATATTGAGAAAATTAATAATTTTAATTTTTTTAGTTTATAAAATCGTGACTGTGATAAATTTTCACAAGTTTTTAACAATATGCAAAAAAAAAAATGAGACAACAAGTGAAAATGTCAGTCATATTTGTAATGAGAATTTGTGTTGCAGGTTTTGTTTTTTATTTTTTACAATAATAGGATAGGAAATACCAAAAAGTTGTTGCTGATGTTTAAAGATTTCATTTTTAAAGCTTCTTTAACTTGTCTCTTTGTGATTCTAATAAAAAAAAAAAAAAATATATTGATTGAAGGACGAGTTTAATGTAGTCAATGAATGTTTATTCTTTGTTGTAATTGAAACGTTTTGAGAGTAAGATGTCAAACGTGTATTGGGTCATTAAAAAAAAAAAAAAAAAGACAAGAAAAATGATTTAAAATTTTATTATTGTGGCAGGGGGTGGGGGTGGGGGTGGTAGGAAGTCGAAAAGTTTCATCTTGTAATTTTTTTTTTACACAAAATGATTGGTTGGTGTTAAAAATTTAATTATGTGGAAAAGAGGAGGAAAAAAAAAAAAAAAAGGCCGAAAAAATACACACACACATTTTTTTTCAACTAAAATTTTTTTTTTTGTATTTCTAGTTTTCTTGTTCGCCTCAGGATTGCTTACATTACCTATTTTTATGCTTTACTGAGCAAATTTAACTCATGTGTGTAAGGCCTGCGGTGAAAAAAAAAATAAAAAAAATAAATAAATAAATAAATTAACAACTTTGCTTATAAAACAAAAATTTTAAGTTTCATCCAATTTTAAAAGTTTTAAAAAAAAAAAAACGAAAAAAAACGAAAAAAAAAAGGAAAAAAAAGAAGGGAAAAAAAAAAAAAAAGTTTGAAAGTTTAATAAGAAAAACCTTGGCTTCTACTTTTACTTCTTTTTTTCTTTCTGTCTTTCTTTTTTTTTTTTTTTTTTTTTTTTTAATTAAAAGAAAAAAAATGACTGTACACAAAAATAATAGAAAAGAAAAAATTCGGGAAATGATTCAAGTTCTGATGTCATCAAGATTTGAATTTTTTTTCTTTTTTTTTTTTTTTTTTTTTTTTTTTCGAAATCTAAAATTTTTTTTTTTTTTTTTTTTTTTTTTTTTTAGGGGTTACTGTAAAGGGAAAAAACGTTCTCTCGAATAACACAAAAAATTGATTTTTTATATAAATAAATTTTTTTTTTTAAAAATAAATTCACGGTTCATTCATCAGTAATAATAATAATAATAATAATAATAATAATAAATTTAGTTAGTGGCTAAAAATATTTCTTATTTCTTTTAGGTAGGAAAAAAATAGGCGAGCAAAAAAAATCATCATTTTTATTTTATAACATTACGGTCATCATTAATATTCATTTAATTATTATTATTATTATTATTATTATTATTATTATTATTATTATTATTATTAAACTTTTGTTTCGATAGTAAAAAAAAAAAAAAAATTACCGGTAAAGTTTATATATGTACGACTTTGTGATTGGATGATGTTATTCGATCACTAATAACATGACTACTTTTATGAAATTAACATTGAAATAACACACGTATAACTTGATGAAGATTTAAATTTTATTATTATTATTATTATTATTATTATTATTATCGTTTGGCAAGTCGTTGGTTAATTCGTTCGATATAGTGCACCCAATACTTAGTAATAAGATTACTATTCCAACTTTAATAATAATTTCATCAATCAAATCCCCGAGCCATTTAATTATTATTATTATTATTATTATTATTTTTTTTTTTTTTTCATTCTTTAAAAGCTAAAACTTTTCTTAGCAAGTTTTATTATTATTATTATCATCATCATCGTCGTCGTCGTCATCGTCATCTTAAAACGACATTCAGTTTTTCTTCTCTTATTCTAGGTCACAACCTAATTCCTTAAGAATAGATGTTGAGTAATTTATATTAATATTAATATGTGTTTACCTTTTTTTTTCTTTTTTACGTGAATATTATTAATCAATTATTATTATTATTATTATTATTATTATTATTATTGTCAGATAATGCATAAAAAATTTGATTTGTTTTCTTTGCGTTTTATATAATTATTTTAAAGTTAGTAACTTTGTGCGAAGTATTAAATTAAACAAATTTAAAAAAGCTTTTTTTTTTTTTCTCAATTCTTATTAATATTTAAACGGTCGACACAACCTTGAATAATGTTTAACTTGTAATCCTTTAAGTTTGCTTAGATATTGAGTAATATTGTGCGTAAACATGTGTGCGACGCGTATGTGCGTGTGTGTGTGTGTGTGTGTGTGTGCGTGGACGCTAGAGAGAGAGAGAGAGAGAGAAAGAGTTTATCCGCGTGTAGATTTTTTTTGGTTCAATTTAAAGCAATTATAATAATTTATTATAAAATTTCGATGAATGAATTTTGGGGGGGAGGGGGTGGTGGTTCGATTGTTGTAATGTTATTAATAATAATAATAATAATTTTTTGCATTTAAATTTGCGTTTAAATATTTTTAATTGAAGATTAATAATTAATTCGTTGTCGTACCTTCAAGTTGTTTTTGTTAGGAATGAACATAAATTAATAGGAAAACATTGAATGTCAAAAAAAAAAAAAAATTTCTGGAAAGTAGGATTAAAGGATTTTTTAAAAAAAAACTTTTTGTTTTTCCAAGACTTTAACGTAGTGGGGGAGGGGAGGGTGAGGGAAGGAGGAGGCTTTTTTTTGGCACACACACACGTCAAGTGTTTGAATGTTTACTCAATTGGTTTATAAAAAAAAAAAAAAAAAAAAAAAAAAAAAAAAAAAAATGGAGCGAAAATGATGATGAATCTTTTAAATATTTTTGTTAATTGAAAAAAAAACTTTTTTATTAAAAGCATTTGGGGGGGGGGGAGGAAACAAAATAATGAAAAACTATAAGGAAAAGTATTTAAAAAAATACTTTTTTTAAAGTTTTTAATGGTCATGGGACGAACTTAGGTTCGACTTTTTTTTTCTTTTTTTTTTTTGTCCATTTTGTTTAGTTTTTCCTTAATTAAAATTCAATTATCATTCGATAATGAAATAAAATTAATTATGAATTCAAATTTATTGATTGATTTTTTTTTTTTTTTTTTTGTATTTTTCTTTAATATGGGGTGAATCACAAATTACTATTATTATTATTATTATTTTCGTTTAGGAAATTTATGATGGTACTAAAAAAAAAAATTAATGTGTTGAGATTAGGTGAGAAATCGTTGAGATGATTTTTATTTACCTTTTATACGATTGTTTCATAATTTTTTTCTCAGCCCCTCCCTCCCCTCCTCTCCCCCCCCCAAAAAAAAAAAAGCTAATGAAAATTTAAAGTTTGTTAAAAGTGTGAGTCGAATTTTTTAAACTTTTCCCCCCTCCCCCCCGTGTCGCGGTTTATGTATGACGTACTCGTATAAAAGCTTCGATTAAAAAAATAAAATTATATTTAAAAAAAAAAAAGGGGGGGAGGGGGGGGGAAATTTCATTAGAAAATGAATGAAATTGTAATATGGTTCAAAAATACAATCTTAACGAATGGATAGTAGCAAGAAACAAACAAGAGTAATAAGTATAAGTCGAAGAATATTCCGGAAGGTCATAACATGAATGATGCAGACATTTTTTTTTTTTTTTTAAATAAAATATTAAAGATTCTGGCACTTAGATAGACACCGAGATATAATGCCAAGATGTAATTCCAATGGTATAAGGCCGAAGATCTTTGAGGAAACTGATTGAGGTGGGGGGCTGGTGGTGGTGGTGGGGGTGATGATTTTTGTACGTAAGCATCGCAAAAATATTTTTAATACGGCCGTAATAATAATAATAATAATAATAATAATAATAATAATAATTTTTTATTAATATAACAAACGGTCTACAAGTGTGATAGAAAAATGTTGAAAAGTTTATGAGTTGCGGTGGGTGGGTGGGATTTTATTTTATATATATTTATAATTAATAAATTATTATAAATAAAGGTGTCGTTAATAATAATAAATAATTTGGTACCATCGGTAAGTCGATTTCGTGTTTTAAAAAATGAGATTTTTATAATGTAATAAAGATTGTATATTAAAGTTGGAAAAGAAAAGAAAATTTTCCCCTTCCCCTCCCCTCCTCCTCCCCATTTTCAATTGTTTTTCCTAGGGAAAATTTTATAAAATTTTGTTTTTATTGTTTTGAATTATTATTATTATTGTTACTGAATTATTATTTATTAATTATTTTTTCTACGTACTGAGAATATATATTACTGTTGTTTAAAAATTGAATAACACGTCGGGCTTCTTAATAATAAGATGATTAAATGTTCGAAGGGGGTGGGGGGGGGTAAGTGGGGGGGGGTAAAAGCACAAGAGTGAGGAAAAATTTTTTGAATGTAAATAAAATGAGATGATTTCTCAAAAAAAAAAAAAAAAAAAAATGAATGAATGAATGAATGAATATTTATATGCGTTTAAACGTTTTCTATTTGAAATTTGTATCAATCGATCAATCAATCAATCAATAGCTGGCGGTTTCATATTTTTATTATAATTTGTTTTGTAATATAAAAATCAGTCATAATTTTTTGTGTATAAAAAAGTCTCATAAA